TATATATATATATATATATTATTATTATTATACTGTTATTATTATTTGTTAGTATACTAAGTATAAGTATATATATATATATATGTGTGTGTGTGTGTGTGTGTATGTATATATGTGTGTGTGTGTGTGTGTATGCATATATGTATGTATGTATGTATGTATGTATGTATGTATATGTAGATATATATAGATATATAAATGTGTGTGTGTGTGTGCAAAGATTTTCATGGATACTTAATGTGCCAATCAAATGCACCATTGCGGTGATACAAGTATCTATCCTAGTGTGAGCTGTTCGATGGAAGGTCCTGGCTGATATGCCTGGTTCAGATGAGCAATGAACAGTGTATCGAAGCCTATAACAAAATTCAATGTTATTTTGCTCGCCGAAACTGGATAGTGTCTAGTTTCAACTACGTACTGCTGGCCATCAAAGGCAAAATACTGGAAGTATGTTACGGTATATTCGATAGCGTAAAATTGATTGCTCATATCTTGCAAAGACTAGAGATCGGCTAATTAACGAGATATTCAGGTATCATTAGTAGAATGTATCTGAATAAACTGATAGCATTGAGCAGGAGATAGAGTTTCGAGTATTTCGCATTTAATCTTAATTAATTGTGGTTTGGAATTTTAACTGTGCAGTCTATATATATAAAATCCACCTTGATACCATAGCAAGCACGCAATTTTATGCTAATATCTAATCAAATGAAGACAGGGTTTAGAGTTTCAAGACTGATCATATATGACAATGGGTTGTGGCAGTTGATCTTCCGTAGGCACCGTAGACCAGAGATAAATGAATGATGTACTTGGAATTGTTTGAAGCATATATATCGATACTGTAGATAATTATGGTCAAAAGTTGATGGTGATCAGTCAGGTTGCAGCCCAAGTTTAATCAACGAACATAATTCCGAATTTGACACTTTGCAAGTGTATACTTTAAAATTGATAGCACAAGTGTAGGAACTGGTCGTACTCCATTTGTACTACACCCGACCGCTGCGTATCCAGTGCCATGAACGAATCCGTCAACGCCCGCATGCGCACTATCGCCGCCACAAAGTCATCGAATGGGATCTGTTTGCTTGAGTTTGATGAGTACCTCAGGGCAATTGCATCAATCACTTGTGGAGATACTCGGTAGCCTATCTGCTGCACACACATAGTGAGTTCTTTTGTATCGATCAAACCGCTCCTGTCCGTGTCGTGTTGCGTAAAGATCTGCTTCCAACCTGCAACAAATGATTGGTATGTACAGGTGAGTATGGATGCGGTAGTTGACAGATACCGATGTATGATGCAATGTGTGAACGTGTGTATTGATGTGCGACAATCCGTATTAGCTCTACGTAAACATCTCGCGCATACTTAATATAGTTCTTGCTAATAAAGACACAGGGGCATAAAGCTTCGTACTGGAACTATTTGCCTGTCTCTTGAAAGGGATATTGAAAAAGCCGTTGATATCTCGAGTAGCATCATCCTAAAGGTCAGATTCCAACTAGTTCGATTGGTGTTCTATGAAATGAAGGACCACAGGAGAAAACTGGATGACATTCCCTTGGTATGGACAGATATGTACGTGTACACCAATATGTCGGGTAAAATTGCACACTAGATATCTTTACGTACATACCATTCAAGATGTTCCAAAGGTCTCGAAACTCAGTGAAGCCAAGAGTTCCATTCTGTATTAACGGGCATTGAGTGAAGAATACAATCGTGAGACGTTAGCTCCATCTACGACCAAAAATAACTGTCTTGGATATCAATACATGAAACTATTCCGATTGTTACAAGTGCGATATTTATATTATAGACGTCATTGCACTACAACACAAACTAGACTCTACATAAATTCCTATGTTTAATCAACTTGTACAGTCACAATTTAGATCCATGACCACCTATTGCATGTGTTTAAATCCTATGCTGCCTCGCTTTACAGACGCCAATACACACCATATGATGCTGATGCCACAGCAACTGTCATGCCCAGCACAAATTATATTCTGTCGTCTCAACCAAATCATCGCAGATGATATCCTCGTATCAAGGCCAACTAACGAGTGTAGTTTTTTTTTAATGCAAAAGGTGCTCAATACACTCGACAACACTCAGCTCAATTACAAACACAGGAACTTGATGAACATCATTCGGTACCTACCCTGTCTCGATCAAGCATTTGGATCATCAGTCTGTGCAAGTGAAAGTGAGCAGGATAAAGAGATGAAATTTAAGAAAATACGGGATACGATATAATCTAACAACAGCGCGTGATATTGCAATTTCGGATATCAAAAAAGTGTCGACTACTAGTTTCAATATCGCGGCATGAGTATCCTTGTGATATCGCCGAAAATGAAGGATGGATGCTTTGCTACTATTCCATCAGTCTTGTAAGCCGATATGAATAACCAATTGCATGCAAATCACGGTGCAATCGAACAAGTTCGTAACACCTATGCGCGATTTAGTAACAAGCAAGTGTATATTTGAAGATGAACTCAGCAAGTGTCGTTTTGAATCACTCCGTATGGATCTACCAACCATTCACGCGTGGCGACAGAATATATCATAACAATCGAGATGGAGACTTAAGAATATAATAGATATAGATATTAGGGTTGTATATA